TAGTTTTCTGTAAACAGTTATTCATTGCTTGTCTATTTCAATTATTTCTTCTAGAAATGTGTATTCTTTTTCTGGTAATGTATTATTTAGAAGTTTATTGATTCTTTATTTCGAACTTTTTTGTAATGGTTTTTGTGTTCTATGTTTCTAAAAAATATTTCTTGGTAAGGATATTCTTCTAAGTGTTCTATTACTTCTCCAGTATCTTCTTCTGTACTTCTATAAAGTCTTGGGTTATTTATTATTTTTTGATTGGTTTGTTCTGCAGTTCGTATTTGATTGTATGTTAAATGTGTTCTGTTAAGTGTTTGTTCGTGTTTTAAAGCTTCTTTAATTGGAATTATTGTTTTGTGAAGTTTGTATTCACTTCTCGTTACTCCTTCATTTTGTAAAAGTAGTTGTACTGATACAAATGTAGTTTGTATTATTCATATTATTTCTATAGATATAAAAGATTCTTTCTCTAATCTATTTAGATTTAATAAAAAGTTTTCAATATATGTATATATGTCTGTTAACTCTAGTAATATTTTATCTTTTCTGATTGTTGTCGTGAATAGTAGGTTGTATTTTTTCTTTCTATTAATGATGCTGATAATATTACAGCATCTAGTAAGTTTATCATTGATCCTATTTTTTGGTTTGCAGTTGGATTTATTCTGTTAATTAAAGCTTGTATTGTTCTTTTATATCTCTTTATATACTTCCTATTGGTCATTGTTCTAGTATATCTTTATTTTTATCTTTATTTTTTGGATTAAAATGATCTGTTGGGTAAGGTGTTCTTTCTTTAAAGGGTAACCAGTACTCAAAGCGTAAAGGGTTATATTCACTTCTTAATTTTTTTAAAAGTATATCTATTGGATTATCTATTGTTTCGATATAATCATATGATTGTAATCCCGTTAATATTGATATTTAAGTTTCTAATGTAATATTGGTTAGTAACCAAATATCTGTTTGTTTAATTAGTTCTTCAATATGTAGTATTAATAATGATTGGTCTGTTGGCCAATAATCAATATCAGTTCTTTGTTATTCTGATAGATTGGGTTATTTGCAGGTAATCTGTTAATTATAGCTTCTATTCATTCTCGTATTGTTTCTGGTATATCTTCTTCGTGAGATTGTGTTATTAGGGTAAGTATATTATTACTTATTTGTGCTTTATAAAATTCTTTATCATCTTGTCGATTGTACGTTTGTCTAGTTGTTAATGCTGCTTTTAATAATACACAGACTGATTTAATTCCTTAAATTCCTGTTCTAAGGTTAATAGATTAATAGTTCAGTGAGTGTTATAATTATCATTTCTTCTTCAAGGTTGATATAGTCTCGATATGTTGTACAAATATATAATTTTGGTAGGATTGTTTCCTGTATGTATTTTCTGCTTGTTTCGCAAGTTATTTCTTTTAGAAATGCTTGAGTTTTTTGTACTAATTGTATTAGGATTGTAGGGTTTGCAGAGATATTATCTGCAAGTATTCCTTCTAGATTTAAGATAGTTTCTACTTTTTGAATTTGCTTATTAAATCTATATGTTATTGTTCTAAGGAATCGTTGTTCTATTTTGTCTCATATCTTATTTGCTATTAGGGTTATATATTGTTTTGTTTCTAGTTTCATATAAGTATTTTATCTATTTCTTGTATGGTATATTCAATATCTTCTTTAGTTCAGTATTCAATAGTATCTTGATTAGTGATATTTTTTAATTGGATTGTTATTGTTGTTAATTTGGATTGTTGGTTCTGGTATATTTTATTAGTTAATTTTGTTAATTGGTTCAGGGTATTAATTGGTATATTTAATATTTGGTTTCGTTTTAAGAGAATAGTTTGTAGTACTTCTTTTACTTTTCTAAGGTAGTTGAATACTTGATATTCCTTTTTAAGTTGTGAATCAGTTTGTTGTATAGTTTGTAAGGTATTTAAATATTTGTTGTCAATTCTATTATAAACAAAATAGTTAAATAATATATTCTCTAAATTTATACAATACCAGAAAAAGAATACACATTTCTAGAAGAAATAATTGAAATAGACAAGCAATGAATAACTGTTTACAGAAAACTA